TTTTTTATTAAAGTAGACAATTGATTAATTAAGGTAAAAAAAATAATTTGTGCAGCATCTAACAGATTACAGGTTATCACAAATCTTCAGAAAATAATTGCTGGACGAGAAGCTACATTTTCAGCTTCTTATAACATATCACAGAAGGTTGTAATTTGATTTGAAAAAAAAATTTTAAAGCTTCTCTGCAAGCTATAGCAATACTTTCTGAAGAAGGTTTTTTGCTTTAAATTTTATTTTCTGAAGCAAAAAAATCTGCAATTCTTTCTAAAAATTGACAGTACTTCTAATCTTACATTTACAAACCTTTATTATTGCTATTTAAGAGAATAATTCTAGCAGCGTTACCGAACTGTTCTGTATGTTTGTTAGTATAATTGTTTTTCAGATTCCTTCGGCAATTTTTGAAACATCCAGTAGTTCAACAAATTTAAACTCGGATGTTGAAAGTGAAGCAGCGTCTAGAAGCGGTGATCAATTACCGTCAACCAAACTTGGCAAATATTTTTTTATATTCACTAATTAGTGTACAGGAAACAAGATTTGTTTTGTTTACATCACAACATTAATTTTATCACTGTTCAGAATCAAAACCATCACGAAAAGAGCTGTTCCGATTCCCAAAGATTCAAAGAAAACGAACATTTAGTGACCCGGGACAAGGTGTACGTAGAAGAGTGTTAGCCGATAAATTGGTATTTATTTCTGCTGTTTATTTTCTCAACAATTTTTTTTTCAAATTATCAAGTCATTACAATATTGTCTTTAATGTTTCAGCGCAAACAGAGTGTTCTGTCATGTGTCGAGGAGTGTGATGAGCTGAAAAGAACTCATTCATCTGGTTCTATAGAAAGCTGTAAGGAACTTCAAACGAATAGTTTAGATCCAGCACCATTTTCTCAAATGGCTGTTGAGAAGCCTGCGAACAGATCCAACAAGCCAATGAAATCGGAATCTGGCGACAACCAACGTTCACTGTCTGAACTTGGAAGACGATCTTTGGTACGACAGGAAAGTAGCATTTCAGGGTCGACGACTGATGATCCAGAACTGGGGGAGATCAAACCTGATCAGTAGTATTAATTCGATTTTTAACATGTTATATAACATTTTAAATATCTAGAAATTCAGCTAGTGTGTCACTAGAGAAGTATCTTTCTCGAACACAAGTTTATAAAGCGGAATTTATGTGGCATTTAATGCAAAACATTGATGTTGTTTAACAAAGGAAAAGTATTGTCTTTTTTGTCTTTTCGTTAAAAAAATTATAAGATTTATATGTCGGACAAAAGTGTACTGATTGCGGTCTCATTTTTTACAATTAAAGCTGTTTTTTAGTGAACTGTTATTGTGCACTACCGCTTTTGTCAACAGTAATAAAATAATTGTTGGTAATTGTTCAGGCAAATTTTCTTTTGCTATTCGCAACATCTAGAGTAGAAAGTTTGCTTTTTCAGCATTTGAGGCAGTCTAAAAATAAAAATTTTTTTTACTTGTTTGTTTGGTTCTAATTAGCAATAAAATTAACAAAAATTTTGATATTTACTAGAATCTTCTAATTTATTCCTAAAAACCAACAAAAAACTTCAAAATTGGAACGATTCAATTTATGCATCTTAAAAACTTAGTGTGCTATTAATTTTGGTTAAATCTGCTACGATTTTTGAAGTTACAAAATTATTTCTGTAATGAATCTAAAATACATCAATAATTTTAAAAAAAAATATGAGCAAGAAGTTTAAAAGAGAAGTTACTTGCAGATAATAAAAGACCAACTTTGGTTTTTTGTCAGATGTAGAATTTGTAATCGTTTAAAATTTGGAACATTTTCTAAAGTTTTAGGAATTCTTGCGCTGCAAAAATGAGATGCAGAAATCAATCACCTTTTGTCGAAATTTTCTTAACTAGCTGGGCATATAATACTCTTAAATTATGCAATTTTTCTTGGTTAAAATTCAAGCTAATTCTAAAGACATTTTCGGTTACAGTAAAAGTGATTTATAGTAGGGCTAAAAACTGTTACCAACAACTTCTCGTGCAGAATCGTTCTGCGTCTTTTAAAAAAATTATCCTTTTGTAAAAGAGGGTTTGTAATTTAAAATAATATGCTGGCTGTAAATTAAGTGCTGTTTTGGTTTTTTAAAAATTTTTGAAATTTTATGCGCAGAAGAAGTGTTGCAGTTACTCAACACTTTCTATTCTACTATAGTTGCATGTAGTTAGAACTACAATATGATTAACTGACAGGTTCTGCAAATCTGAAAGTAGGTGAATCATTGGTATGCAAAAAACTGCTCTCATCTAATAAATCAGCTACTGTTTATGAGAAAAAAAGTGGAAAAAATAATGTGAATAAACCTTCCTTTATTTGCATGAAGCCTGTGAGATAATCGGTGTTGTCACATCAATGTTATTTTGGTGAAATACCTTTCTCGTCATAAATTTTTAGAACTTTTGCTTTCGTATATTTATTGTTGCTGAGTGAAAGGAACACTTCTAAGCAATAATTTTCTTATATATTTTTATGCTTCTTATTAAACATATTTATATCACATAAAAGTTCTGATAAGTTAAAGGCAATATTATTAATGCTTCTCTGTTATATAAAATTTCCTTCTAATGTTGAGCTCATCAAGGTTTTTATGATACAGATGCTTTTGCTCTCTTTCTTCGTAATTAAGCAGATAAATTTTAGCGGAATCTATCGACGTAAGATAAGAAATATTAATGACTGTTTATTACACGCCAAGTGTGTCTACTGCTAAGTTCATCGATTTTGTTCGGGTATTAATTCGTTGGAGAGGCTCTGTTTGGAAACTTATACTACCTGAACTATGCATTTGGCTTATAGCATACTCAATCTTGAACCTCGTGTATAGACTAGCACTTACTGAAGATCAAAAAAGGTTAGAGAATTTCTTGTCTTTTTCTCTCGTTCATACAGTTTCCTACAGTTAACTATTTTTAAAAATTGTCTAGTTTTTTCTGCTATACTCACTTATCTCTGTTTCAGAGCTTTTGAAACAGGTGTTCTTTTTATTCGTCATTTTATGCATTATATACCAGTGACGTTTATACTCGGATTTTATTTGTCACTGGTCATGACACGATGGTGGTTTCAGTACAGCCATATTGGATGGATTGATAGGTAGAATTTGTCAAATAATTTTTCTCAACTCACTGAAAATGACGCATTAATGCAGAACCACCTAAATAAATTGTTCCTTGCAATAAGTGAGTATTAATAATATAAAATCTATGTAATCCTACAAAAAATACTAGTGCCACTTGAATTTGAATTTATCATTGCTGGCTTGAAATAAGATGAGTTAGCCATGATTTTTCCAAATTTTCTAAAGGTTTCAACCTGAAATTTACTAATTCAGTTTGGCGCTTATGGTTGCTTCCTGGATAAATGGTACGGATGAAAAAACTCGTCTTATACGCCGAGCAATTGTGCGCTACATGCTGCTTTATCAAGTTTTAATACTGAGGAACGTTAGCATTAGAATACGAAAAATATACCCAACAATCAAGTCTTTGTTTGAAGCTGGTAAGTCTTCCTTAGCGTAATTTTTTTCATTTATTTTAAAGACTGTTTTATTGTTTTAGAACCTCTAGCTTTGTTCCTCATTCGTAGACATATAATCATAGTCATGCTTCAGAAGAACTCAGTACAAAGTTAACGTATTGAATCTTAGGTTACGTTACCGCACTGGAAGTACCGTTCATTGAAGACACTAAATTTTGGTTGCCAGTCAAGTGGGCATTTTTTCTGACTAGAAAAGCCCGAAATGAGGGTCTGATAGATTCCGACAAGGGAGCTAGCCAGATTTATGAAGCAAGTTATCTGACCTTTGAATCTTTCAAAGACTTTGCTTACATTACATAGAACTTTTTTACGCCAAATTGCAACTGCTGTCTAAAATTGTCATTTTTGTAAAACAAGTCATTATTTTGGCCAAAAATCGTGTTAAAGAAATGTGAAAGAAACAGTATGTTCACAAATGTGTAATCCTTCTAATCTTGCCGTATTCTCTTACCAGCGACAATTCTAGAAAACGGTATAAACCTTGTTATTTTAGAAATAGAAGTAAAAAAAGCACACAAAAATTATGTGATAATTGATGTAAACAGACTAGAATACAGAAATAGAAAAATAAAATAACTTAAAAAGAACAAAAAGCAGCGAGAAGCATTGAAATTGAAGACAGGAATTTCAGAGAAACGTTTATAGAGCGAAAGCAGCAGAATAACAATTACTTCAGCTTTAGGTAAAAGTCATGAAAAACAGCTTTAGAGATGTTATCGCCTAATTAGAGGAATTTTCTAGGATTATTTTTTTATGTTAAATTCTTTAGTAACTTATTTTTTTGTTTTATGCCTAGTGGTCTTCCAACTGACCTTGTTTTTTAAACTAGGAAATAAGACTTGTTACAGTTTTTTGTTAAATAATTGTTTTTTTTAAAGTGATATGGCATGCCTTATACTTAGCATCCTGTGGTTAGTATTTTCATATCATCCTGAACGTAGCTTACTGAATGATGTAACTTCTGCAGCTGCGCATTACAGTTGTTTAGAACAAGCGTAAAGAACTGAATTTCTGGATAAAAATTAGCTTCCACAAGTTTTGAGAAAATGTCTAAGTTTCTCTAGAAATGAAACAAAATCTTTTGCAAAGCGACCTACCAAACATTCTTAAATTTTCTTTTTAGCAACGTATTTTTGATAAATTTTTTTTGAGATGATTTTTTAGATTATTACATTAAACTAATCTTGTTTTTTGCGAAAAAAAGACGGTTTTGTGATTTAAAAAAAGCTTCATCACTGAGATCCCAAAATAAGAAAACTGGTCAGCGAAGGCTTTGTTATCATTTTCTTTAACAACGCTGAAATGATCTGCATAAGCCTTATTTTTTAATTTGTTATTTGTTATATATTGAGAGCAACTTCTGTTGGAAGGTGAAATAAAAAGGTTAAAATTACAACAGCATTGTAGCTAGCTAATTCGATATGTCTGAACCTTAACTGACAAAAAATTTTGCAATTTTTTAAGCATATCTCCGGATTTCGTTCAGCAGTAATTCAACTATGGCTTGCTGATTGGGTACCCGTACCGCTGGTGTACACTCAAATAACCTTCACCTGTGTACGAGTATGGTTTTTAGCAGCTTTAATTGGCAAGCAATACTTGAATGAACAGGCATTTCAAGGAAAACCAACTTCGGCAAGTTCATATCGTTGATTTTTTAATTAGGCATTCATAATTTTATAAATTAAATAATTTTTTTGAAGAGTCAACTTAAAAAATTACAAATAAAATGGCAAAAAATTTTAATTGTAGCTTGATGCATACGTTCCGTTTCTTGAAATAATCCAGTTTTTCTGCTACATGGGTTGGGTCAAAGTTGCCGAAGTGTTGGTAAATCCACAAGGTGAAGACGACACCGATTTTGAAACCTATGTTTTTATTAAACGTAATCTTGCTGTAAGTGTTATCATCTAATTGTATCTAAAGTTTATTTATTTTGAATATCTAATTTTTAAAGTATCAAAATGTTTATGTACAGAAACAAAACAGGAATTTTTTTTTATCTGTTTAGACTGCTATGGAAGCTGCTGATGGAAATATTTCTTGGAAACCTACGCTATATAGAGACAGTTTTTGGAATGATAAAAACCTTAATATGCTTTATACGGTAGAAACAGCAAACATTGAACAGCATCCAATTATTGGATCTGTAGCCACAAAGTTTGTTATCGTTAACGTCAATGTTCATCACAAAATAAGATTATTAATAAACGGTTCAATTTTACCATTAAAAATTTGTTTTTTTTTATTCATCTAATATCGAAAATAGCAAAAGCTGAAAATGTTATTTGTGTCTGTTATGGGATATCTATGATTACCAGTACTCAGAACACTTTTTAGCCGCTTTCGTTTCTCCGACTTTACTACTGATTTCGCACGCAGGTCAAGAAACATTGTTAAACAAGCTTTAAACTTAGAATTTTCATGTAACAGTAATTAGAACGGCTAAGCCAACATTTAGTACAATTTTTCTTTTTGTTGCAGGTTACAAAGTCGTCGAATGAGTAAAGATGTTCAAATGATACAACGAGTACAAGTAATACCGGATGTGTCAACTCTCTACAACTACTATCATCTGGTATTCCACATAAATAGCGTATTCTTCTAAGCCATAAAAATATCAACATGTTTCAATTAGCAAATTTTATTTGTACTACCAAATTTATAAACTTTCTTAAACCTCTTCTATTTGCTTGATATTCAGTTCATCTAAAATCAGCTACCACATTTTTTAGGCAGAAAGTAAAACTGTAAAACCAATTGTGGATAACAGTTATCAGTTTGAGCAACCGGAAAGCTCCGACGGTATATTGTTTACTAAAATTAGTCAACTTCTGTGTTCATCGTCATCTATTAATGCGAAACATAAAAAACAAAACTAAATTCAAAAGATCATTTATTTTTTTCTTCGCTTTAACAATTTAAACATTAACAATTTAAAAACAGTAAACAAATGAAAGTATTATTGTTACATTGTTTTTTTTTCTCTTTAATTAGCCGAAAGATTTTAATTTTTCTCTTTTGTATGCGTTATTAGCACTGTACATCCCGTTAACTGCGAAGGCATAAGGGTAGTTTGATGTTCTACTGAAGACAACTGTAACTGATCGTGATCGGTATTTTTTGCGCAAAAACAGTGTGCATAAAAAG